ACCCCCCCCACACACACAAAACACACACACACACATAAATAATAAAATAGGCTATTTAAAAATTTAAGTGGACAAATGTGGAAGCAGGGAGATGGGTAAGGAAACTTGTCTAACAACGGAATAGAATGGAGGCTAAAGGAGAGACTGTAGAAAGTGGCCAGACTGCAAATATTCTGAAGGTGAAGCCAACAGGGTTTCCTGGATGTAGGAATAAAGGAAAGAGAGGAGTCAAGGATGTCACCTAGGTTTCCAGCCTGAGTGACCGGAAGGATGGAACTGGCATTTCCTGAGATGGGGAAGACCTCAAGAGGAACAAGTTTGAAAGGGGTGGAAGAGAAAGGAGAAGGGGGCACGCCAAGGGGAGGGAGCTGTCCAGGAGAACAGGGAGCCGTTGTAAAGAGACCAGAGTGTGCTATGCTACCAGGTGGAGAGACAGGTACTAGAAGTTGCTAAACATCTACCAGCAATAAAAGGTCCAGTGAATGTCGCCATTTTAACTGAATGGATTTGAAATGCAGTGTAGACAATGTCCCCTTGAAAATGAAAACATCAAAAAGAACAAATGTTTAAAAAGTTAATCATTTTTGTGCTCCTTCTGAAACAATGAAAAATAACACTATGCTTCAGAAGCCTCAACATTGCAAGCCACATATTCATGAGGTGTTTATGAAATTACCAGGGGGCTCAATGAAGTAGAGCAAGGACTAGGCCCTGGGGCACTCCCATTAGGGAGTCATGGAGGGGGGCGGAAAGATAGAGAACTGTCAAGGAGATAGAGGAGTAGTCAGTGAGAGACCGGTAAAAACAAAGAATGTGGTATGCCAAGTGAGATAAAGTATTGTTAAGTTGTTAAACATCCACTATCTATAAAAGATGAAATGAATGTCACCATTTTAATGGAATATGTTTACTTTGAAGCACAGTATAGAAAATGCCCCCTTGTAAATGAAAATGTTAAAAAGAACACATTTCCTCCAAAGTTAATCATTTTTATTCTTTGTGAACCGATGAAAAGCAACACTATACTTTAGAAGCCTCAAGGTACAAGCCACATATTCATAAGCACTGCATTTCAGTAGATGTGCATGCAAACACACACACACACACTCTCTCTCTCTCTCTCTCTCTCTCTCTCTCTCTAATGTGAGCGCCAGAGTTGAGGTGAGTGGGAGCAATGAAGAGCTGCTATATGGTGTTTGCTCAATGAAAGAAGTGAAAAAAAGCCTTCAGTAATAACTGTTGCCAGAAGCACAGCTTTAGGGTTTGGGGAGTGTGGTTAAGGATAGAGACGGGATTGAATCCAGGCTCTGAGGTTATTTACTGCTTCTAAAATGAAGTTCTTAAAAAAAAAAACAGCGATTGCATAGCTCTCTTGGGACAAAATGTCTTTGCTGATACAGGGCAGAGAGGGACTTGAGGTAAGTCAGTACTGGCTGCCACAGCTTGTGGTGGTGGTAGCTGAAGTAGAAGCAGGGGAAACATTACATGAACAACAGGGCCCAGGCCTGGCTGAAAGGGCCGCTAGCTTCATGCTTTCCAGTGACTTGAGAGAGGAGCAGCACTGTTTTGGTGAGGGGCACTGGAATGCCAAGTATAGGTGAGACAGGTAACCCTGTGGGATTGAAGCCGCAGTACTGTCAAGATGGTGATTCTCCCTAAATTGATCTACAGATTCAAAACAATCCATATCAAAAACCCAGCAGGATTTTTTTTTTCTTTTTTGGCAGAAATTGACAGGCTGATCCTGAAATTTATATGGAAATGCAAAAGCTCTAGAAGGGCCAAAACGGTTTTGAAAAAGGACATAGTTAAAAGACTTATACTTTCCAGTTTCACAATGTACTATAAAACTACAGAAATCAAGACAGTGTTGTACTGGCATAAGTACAGACATACAGATCGAGAGTCCAGAAATAAACCCTTTTATGGTCAGTTTATTTTCTACAAAGATACCAAGGCAATTCAATAAGGAAGGGATTGTCTTTTCAACAAATGGTGCTGGGACAATTGCATATCTGCAACTGTCCAAAATTTGGGATGGAGTTAAACCCTTTCCTCACACTTTACACAAAAATTAACTAAAAATAGATTATAGGCCTAAATATAAGAGCTGAAACTAGCAACTTTTAAGAAGAAAACCTAGGAGTAAATCTTTGTGAACTTGAGCTAGGTAAAGTGTTCTTAAGTATGATACCAAAAGCATGATTCATAAATGAAGAAATAAATTGGACTTTGTCAAAGTTAAAAACTTTTGCTCTTCAAAGATACCGTTAAGAAAATGAAAAGACAAGCAACTGACTGGAAGAAAACATTTGCAAATCATGTGTCTGATAGAGACTTGTATCCAGAATATATAAAGAACTCTTGCAACTCAATAATAAGAAAATAAGCAACCCAATTTAAGAATGGGCTGGAATAGCTTTTTTACCAAAGAGGAAATATGAATGGCTAATAAGTACATAAAATGATGCTCAATACATCATTAGTCATTAGAGAAATGCAAATGAAAACTGCACCTACTAGAATGTCTATAATAAAAAGAAAAAAAACAGTATCAAACATTGGTGAGGATGTGGAGAAACTGGAGCCCTCATAGATTGCTGGTAGGAATGTAAAATGGTGCAGCCACTTTAGAAAAGTTTGACTGTTTCACAAAATGTTAAACATAGATTTACCATTGGACTCAGCAATTGCACAACTAGGTATTTACCAAGAGAAATGAAGACATGTTTTCATAAAAATGTGTACAGAAATGTTCATAGGAGCATTATTCACAACAAAAACTTGTACACCATTGTTCATAGTATTATTCACAATAGCCAAAAGTGCAAACAATCCAAATATCCATCAACTGGTGAAAGGATTAACAAAATGTGGTATGCCCATGCGATGGAATTTACTCAGGAATAAAAAGGAATGAACTACTATTGATAGATGCTATAACATGGATGAACCTCAAAACTACTATGCTCAAGTGAAAGAAGCCAGACGCAAAAGACTACATATTATGTGATTCCAATTACGTGAAATGTCCAGAAATTGTCCGTAGAGACAAAGACTTTAAGTGGTTGCCTGGGGCCAGAGATGGAAAGGGGGACTGACTGCAGATAGACATGAGGGATCTCTTTGGGGTGATGGAAATATTCAAAATCTGGACTGTGGTTACACAGCTCTGCAAATTTAGTAAAAATCACTGAATTGTATACTTAAAGTGGGTGAATTTCATGGTATGCAAATTTTACCTCAAAGCTAACTTTTTTAAAAAAGAGATTTGGGGAGAAGTTTTCTTTTTTTTTAATCTTTTTATTTATTTATTTGAGAGAATAAGAGAGCTAGAGCACGAGCGGGGGGAGGGTCAGAGGGAGAAGCAGACTCCCTGCCGAGCAGGGAGCCTGATGCGGGACTCGATCACAGGACTCCAGGATCATGACCTGAGCCGAACGCAGTCGCTTAACCGAGCCACCCAAGCGCCCACCTCAAAGCAAACTTTTTAAAGAGTATACTTGTAATTGTCTATGAATTCCACCTCTGCTACTTACAAGCTGTGGGATTGTGGGCATGTTATGTAATATTTTAGGGACTCAGTTTCCTCACCTGTAAAAATGGGAATTATACTATCTACCTCATCAAATTGTTGTGAGGAGTAAATAAATTAATATTTGTCAAGTCAGTGCCAATATTTAACTATAATTTTTAATTAATAACATTTCTTGTGACATTTCTACTTTCAGTACACGTTTCTGACAATGAAGCATATTATGTTCTATTTATTATCAATGAATTCTATTTTTCATTGAGATATAATTCACATGATTCACTCTTTTAAACTGTACAGTTTATTGGTTTTTAGTATATTCAGAAAGTTGTGCAACCATTACCACTAGTTCAACATTTTTTTAAACTGAAGTATAGTTGAAAAAAATTGAAGTATAGTTGACATACAATATTACATTAGTTTCAGGTGTATGACATAATGATTCGACATTTCTACATTTTTATCACCTCAATGGGTTTTCTGAATTGGCTGGCATAACTATTTAGAATGTAAGATAAATTCTAAATTTATTAACTTACAAATCTGTAAGTTAATAAATTTAGGAACTAAATGCCTCCATTCAAATACAACTGTACAGTCTCTACCATCACTTAACCAATGAATGCCTTTATTGAAATAGAACTTCCTATGTTAGGTAAACTGTTGTAACCTAAAACTTATGTGATAAACATATTCCTTTTAATCTTACTTCAGTATTCTATCAACACAGGTAATCTAAATTATTCTTCACCTCTTCTTATATTTTTTGCTGGCCAGAAAAGAACACTTGTTCGTGACAGAAAATTTGTAAAGTATAGAAATGCATGGGGAGAAACAAAAATTACTCGACTTCTTGTTGATACACCGTGAAAAAAAAGGAAATTCCCCGAAGTCTTTAAATTGTAAAACACCGCTTTAGTGGTAATCTTTCCATTAAAGAAGTGAGTTTTCCTGTATGGGCTTAAAAACAAACAAACAAACAAACAAAAAATGCCTCCTTGGGCTCTTACAAACACCTAGCTTCCATCCTATGCTAACTCCATGCTGTGCGGTTGTAGAGCCACTACCGACCGCCTCCCGGGCCCTAGAAACCTGTCTCTGGGAACAAGTTAGGGACTTTGCTCTTCCCATCCCTGGGCCGCTGACCACTTCATCAAACCTCCGCGCGAGGGCGCCCTCCCCGCCGCCCGCCAGGTGACGCGCAGGGTCGTAAGAGCGGCCAGCGTGGCCATCACAGCCGAGCCGCACCCCGAGCCGATCTCGCCTTATTAAATTATGGAAATCATAAGATGGACCGCCCCACCGTCTGTCCTCACACCCCCAGAGAAGCTTCCGGTAAGTCTTCCGGCCATCCCCACGGAAACCGGAAATGGTTTCTCCCTCGCCAGCGCGCTTGGCGGTTGCATCACCCGCCTAGCAAGGTGGGGGGGGGCTGTCTTCTTTGGGGGCTGCCCTCAGCGTTGCCTGCACAAAAATCCATCAGGTCTGCGACGAATGTCTTCCGAAACTTTGCCTCCTGTTTTTTAGTGAGTCTTCCGGCAGGCACTGTGTAAACCCAAGCGGAGAGAAGTCCAAGCAGCGAGGACCCTGCTGCACCGGCCATCCTCCTTTCCCAGGCGGGGGCCCTAGTCGGTCGTCCCGCCTCCGCTCCCCCCGCCCCACACAAGGGGACCTGCGTTCGGTTAGGCAGCGGCTGGGGCGACTTCCTTCCTCTCGGAGCAAGATGGCGGGCGGTGAGGCTGGAGTGACTCTGGGGCAGCCGCATCTTTCTCGTCAGGATCTCGCCACCTTGGTAAGGTTTCGTTCTGCAAGGATGCGGAGTGAACTCAGACGTGGATGATCGAGCCTCCTGGGAGGCGTTGAGACGAGGCAGTGCCGGGCTGTCTGTTGGTAGCGTGCGTTAGGAGGGAGACTCCTGCCGCCGCCTGCACCTTGGCAAGTTCGCGAGGTGTGCATGGGGCTGTGAGGTTGTGGGACCTCAGGCCCCCGAAGGATTCGGCTGGAAAGTCATGACGTTAAATGTTACTAAGGCTTTTGCTTCCTAAGGTCTGGGAAGGGAATATCTACTTCGTCCTCAGTGCTAATGCTGTCAAGGTGGGGGGGGGGGATGTCTCGGGCTTTCACATCTCCCATACTGAGTGGAGGTGTAGTCTTCTGTAACGATGAAGGACTTTTAGGGCTTCCCAGTCATCAGAGTACAATACTGCCTTTGCAGGAGAAGTGCTTTAGAAGTGGAGGAGAGCTGTTCACGTGGTGGCAGGCTGTGGGTAGCAAATGTAAAGTCAAAGGAAAAGTTGTGATCTGTCTTACGTACAGCGATTTAAAATAAAAATGTTTCATTGCAGGATGTTACCAAGTTGACGCCACTTTCACACGAAGTTATCAGCAGACAAGCCACAATTAATATAGGTAAGATAAGAATAACTTGGTGACCTGACTTGCTTGATCTCGACAAGTAATTTTTAACTTCTCCCTTTGTGTGATTGCCTGAATTTTATGAGGACGCAGATGTTCCAAGAAATAGACTTTGATCCTGTGTGAGTAAAGCACCTGCTGGATTTTGTGGGCAGCATATATTGCTCAAGCCTAGCTCATGTCTAGGTGAGAAGAAAAGATACAAACATATGAAAAATTTAGTAGCATAAGGCAAGATGTAGTCGTGTGTAGCAGAAGAGGTGAAAATGTGGTGGTACTTGCCACACAGGGTTATTGCAGGGGCATAATTTTCACAGAAGTTTTATTTGGTATATAAGTGATTATTAAGGTTTTTTTTCCCCCTCCTAATTGCCGTCTAGAACTTTAGAGGAGAAGGTATGTTGACTGAGTGTCAAATTTAAATTTGACAGCCCGTACAAGTGGCACAATTAAATGAACTTAAAAGTAAAGCTATCTACCGTCAGGTTATTAAGAAGTTATAAGATATGTGCTAACCTTGATAGCATTACCATAATTAAACCTGGGTTGTTTTCCTGTTTTCATGGATTCTTTTTGGTGTTGTCAGGACTCATACCTGTTTACTTCACTTTGGTTATGCTGGAAAGTTCCTTAGTATCTAGGATTTTATCTTCTTATTTAGTGTTTATTTTAAATGAAGGCAGTCTTTTATGTGAGTAGAAACATAAGATGAATAGCTTTTACTGTACTGGAGTATAGTTTTTGAATGAGATTGTGATTACATGGAAAGTTCCATTCAGTCCTGTATCAGAATAAGGTTTTGTTAGGAAAGAATATGAAGGACGAAAAATTGAAGTCACTGTTTGTTTTATGTTGATATTTATACTGAGTTTTAGCTTTAGGTTTTCTACTCCAGTGCTTTTTGAAATAGTGTTTGGTGTAACTGAATGTACATGAATTAATTTCTTACACTTTTTCTGTAGGTACAATTGGTCATGTAGCTCATGGAAAATCCACAGTTGTAAAAGCTATTTCTGGAGTTCACACTGTCAGGTTCAAAAATGAACTAGAAAGAAATATTACAATCAAGCTTGGATATGCTAATGCTAAGGTGAGCTTGTACTGTGGAACTAGAAATAACTTTGTTGAATGTACAGATAACAAATTTGAATCTTTTTTTCATTGGAATTTTTAGATTTATAAACTTGATGACCCAAGTTGTCCCCGGCCGGAATGTTATAGATCCTGTGGAAGTAGTACACCAGATGAGTTTCCTACAGACATTCCAGGGACCAAAGGGAATTTCAAATTAGTCAGGTGACCTCTTTCAAAAAACACTTTATACTTCATATTCTATTGTCTTATGATTGTGTTTTTTGAAATATTTAACTGAGATTAAATTATTAAACTAATTGCTGAATGTTTTTGTTGTCTATTTTTTAATGTTATTGTCTATAATGACAGTAATTTGAAAGGTCAAGTATTTCAACCTCAATTTAGATACTTCCATTCAAGTTCTCCAAAGGAAAGGTATCATGTAAGCAGATGGAATGGAGGGAAACACAGCTCGTTGGATTTAGGGGAAGCTTTTTGCCAGGCTTTCTACATTTCTTTTAAACAATGTTGTTTCTGTTTTTTAGATAGGGGATGCACAAAGCCATTCTTAATTACCTCTCTTCAGTACATGGCTTGTTACCCATCTAGTTTCTGAATGTGATTCATATCCTGGTTCTTTATCAGAGGATACAGACCTCTACTCCCTAGTGATGTTAATGCGGTTGGGGATGGCCCACAAGGAAATTTTACATTGAGGCAAGGCTGGGACTGGGGAGAGGTGAGTGAGGCCCTTGCCTTGGTCCCAAAATGTACAAAAAAAAAAAAAAAAAAAACACCTCAGTGATCAGGATAAACAGTATTTTGAGGCAGTGCTTTTTGAAATTGATGCAAAAAAATCCTAATAGAATATCATTTGTTTAAAGACAACTCAAAATTACAGATTTTTTTCCCTCTTGCTTCAGTATCACTATTTATTTTTGGTTCGATGTGGCATTATTAGTTACCTTTGATATTTTGCTCGTTGCAAATTTTTTTGCATTAATTTTGTTTTTAAAAATCTTAAATTTAAATATTATTTATCTTGATTAGTGAGTTTTTTGGCACTCTCTTAAATTTTGCCCCTAAGGCAAATGTCTCACTCAGCTTCACCCTGGTTCTGGTCCTCATCAGAAATCAGCAAACTTCTTTTTTTATAAGTGGCCAGATCATAAATATTTACAACTTTGCAGGCCATAGGTTCTCTGGGAAGAGGCAACTCCTCTCTGCTCTTGTGTTATGAAAGCAGATGCAAATAATATGTGCTTGAGTGGGTATGGGCCAGATTTGGCCTAAGGGCCTTAGTTTGCTAATCCCTGTTTCAGATCTTGACAGTGTGAGCATACACTCTTTAAAAATAGTGATTCTCAATAAGTAGCAGTTTGTCTAAAATAGTACTGCCATCTCTACTTCAGATTGGCAGTTCCCGCTTTTCAAGGTGTTGGAGGAATTTTTGGCAAATTATTTTTTCAGATGGCAGTGCCCATTCTGTTAACACTGTTTTAGCTTTCAAATCGATGACATTTCCAGTATGTATTTTCTACCATACTCTATACCATATTCATTTTGATTGGATTTGGGAATTTCTCTGTTGAAATATGGATTGATTTTAGGACTGATTGCTATTTCTTAATTGTTAGACATGTTTCCTTTGTTGACTGTCCTGGCCACGATATTTTGATGGCTACTATGCTAAACGGTGCAGCAGTGATGGATGCAGCTCTTCTGTTGATAGGTAAATATATCAGAATTGGTTTTGACAAATCAATGTGGAGCAAATCCAAGATGGAATATTTAAACGAGCACTAAGGCCATTAAGGGTCATATTCATTACCTAAGGGTGACACAAATGGGAGCTAACATGTCATCCAGGATGACATCCCTGCCTACCAGATATCATAAAATACTAAGCAAGGTAGATGTGGGGCTGATATGAGAATTCTTAGGTTAGTATATATTTTTAAATCAAAGTCAGTAGTGCATTTTTCCCACCTAGATCACATGAGATGATTTATTATTTTAATTTTAAATTTGTAAGTGTACATGTATTTTTCATCCACTGCAATGTTGATGTATAGTGGTTTTATTTAGATGCAAATCTTATTCATAGTAAGTGCTGAAGTGTAGACCTAATTGGGGTTTTCAAAGCTAGGGTTGTGCTACCTTCCTTATGTGAGCTATCAAGAGATTTCATTGCTATGGGACATTATTTTTATTTTTTCAAAGATTTTATTTGAGATTGAGAAACAGAGATAGAGCAAGAGCAGGGAAGAGAGGGAGAAGCAGCCTGAGCAGGGAGCCTGATGGTGGGCTCGATTCTAGGACCCTTGGATCATGATCTGAGCCAAAGGCAGACACTTCATCTATGGGACATAATTTTTTTAGAGGATGCCAAGTAGATACAGTACAGGACAGCTCAATATCACTGCTTGGGGAAGGTGACTGTTGGAGTGCCCCCCCCAAAAAATGCCAATTTCTTTATGATAACACTGTTCGTTAACTGTGCATTTAGTGTTCTTATCTCCCTTTGTTAGGGAGTACCCTTTGGTAGTAGTTGAAATTCAGACTGTAGTAAGTGTTTTCCCTTAATTACTCTTTACCTCTCAGGAGCTTAACTGGGCCGAAACATCTCTTAAGACTGGATAGAGCCAGAGGGCTATACCTTATACCTTAGCAAAGGCTAAGGGCAGACCCTGGGATGCCAAACTTGTTGATTCCAAGCTTCTTGCATAGCACCAGGGATAAAAGCCAAATGATCTGAAGGCTCCAGTGAACGCAGGCACAGAGGGTGAAACAGAGCAAAAGGTGGATGCTTGGCAGTGATATCCAGGACTTTTGCCTGGAGTAAGGCTAGGACATGCAAAAGTTTCCTTTAAGTTTGTTTTGGTAGTAAAATACACAAAATAAAATTTACCATTATAACTATTTAAAGTGTACAACTCAGTGACATTAAGTACATTCACAGTGTTCTGCAAGCATCACCAGTTTCTAGTTCCAGAACATTTTCGTTGCCCCAGAAGGATACCCCGTGCCCGTTAAACAGTCACTCTATGCCATACCTTCCCCCCATCTCCTGGCAACCACTAATCTGCTTTCTGTCCCTATGGATTTGCCTATTCTGGATATTTGCAGTTAATTCTCATGCATCTTTTTTATTCCTCATCATCTAGCTGGTAATGAGTCTTGTCCTCAGCCTCAGACTTCTGAACACCTGGCTGCTATAGAAATCATGAAACTGAAGCATATTTTGATTCTACAAAATAAAATTGATTTGGTAAAAGAAAGTCAGGCTAAAGAACAGTATGAACAGATCCTTGCATTTGTACAAGGTAAGAAGCCATAATTGCTAATAAATCTATGAATCACTTTGAGAGGTATTTAATCCAGATACCGGATGTTAAATTTAACTTTTACTATAATAGACTATCTGAAATAGATAAATTTATGCATCTTAAAACCTTATTTCTCTACCTACTACTTGTTAGTCACCGGATACAATTAGTGATATCTGTTTGTGAATTTGATAAACTAAAGCACATACATCTTTTCATCCATGTATATTTAAAATACTTTCTTATTGAAGTATAGTTGACATACTGTTATGTTAGTTTCAGGTGTACAACTCAGTGATTCGACAGTTCTGATAATTCTATACATTATGCAGTGTTCCTGACAGTAAATGTAGTTACCGTCTGTTACCACACAAAATTGTTAAAATATTATTGTCTATGTTCAGTATGCTATACATTTCATCCTGGTGACTTACTTTATAATTGGAAGTTTAAACTGAAGTATATTTTTGCTGGCTGAAAGTTAGAACTGAAGTTGTATTCTGGAAACTGTGAGTCGGTTTAGGAAAAAAAGTCCTTTTTAATGAAAAAAGCTTTTTTTGTTTTAAACTTAAGTCTTAAACTACTCTTACCTAATACATTGATCATTGGAAGTGACAGTGATATATTTAATTTTTATAGTGTTCATTTCTCTGTTGCATAGGGTTTTTCATTTCAGGGAAGACATGATGCATGTTATTGTTGACAATTCTCTCAGCTTTGTTGGAAGGGTTGACTCCCATGAACCTAGATCTGTCGTGATGAAAAAGAATAAGTCATTTTGATTAAAATCTAATTATGTTTGGTCCATTTCTTTGACCAACCTGTTTGACATATTATTAATAAGGAGCAAATATTTTATGAGCCAGTAGTCTTTGATTAGCAAAGAGTCTGTAATTTTACCTTGACATTTTTTGGGAGGTTAATTACACGTTATTAGAAATCTTTAAACTAGTAAAGTGCTTTTTCCCAGGAGTGTTAGTAGTTTATTCCTTTAGACAGTATTATCATTTTAGTATAGTAAATACATGTGTAAATATATTTTAACAGTTTTTTTCCATAAAGGGACTAGTGTTCATTTTCAGGAGTAAAACAAGCAGAATACTGCCACCTTTCTAAACAGAATTATCACTTTGCATTTGTTTGTTGCTGGCATTTGTGTGAGGATGTTTAGGCATCTATTTTAGTTTTTTTTTTTAAGATTTATTTCTTTTAGAGAAGGGGCAGAAGAAGAGGGAGATGGAGAATTTTTTTTTTTTAATAGATTTTTATTTATTTATTTATTTATTTGACAAAGAGAGAGCACAAGCAGGGGGAATGGCAGGCAGAGGGAGGAGCAGGCTTCCCTCTGAGAAGGGAGCCCGATGTGGGGCTCGATCCCAGGACCCTGGGACCATGACCTGAGCCAAAGGCAGACGTTTAACCAACTGAGCCACCCAGGTGCCCCGAGGGAGAGGGAGAATCTTAAGCAGACTCCCTGCTGAGCACAGAGCCTGGCATGGGGCTCCATCCTACGACTCCCAAGATCATGACCTGAGCTGAACCAAGATCAGGAGGCTCAACTGACTGAGCCACTCAGGCTCCCCTAGGCATCTATTTTAGTAATCTTAACCTTTCCTGTAACATAGAAAGATCAAGTTCTGTAAAACTAAAGAATCTTAATCTTTTTGAATTTTATATAGGTACAGTAGCAGAAGGAGCTCCTATTATTCCAATTTCTGCTCAGCTGAAATACAATATTGAAGTTGTTTGTGAGTACATAGTGAAGAAAATTCCAGTACCCCCAAGAGACTTTACTTCAGAACCCCGACTTATTGGTAAGTGATAGTATTTGTCTTTAGCTCTTAATTTGATCTTTTTCACATTGGTGATTCCTCCTTTTTTTTTTTTTTTTAAGATTTTATTTGTCAGAGAGAGTACATGCACAAGCAGGGGGAGCGGCAGGCAGAGAGAGAAGCAGGCTCCCTGCTGAGCAAGGAGCCCGATGTGGGACTTGATCCTAGGACCCTGGGATCATGACATGAGCTGAAGGCAGACACTTAACCGACTGAGCCACCCAGGCATCCCTTGATTCCTCTTGAAGGGTGTTTATTAATACTTCTCTTTCTGCAGAGATAATAACAATCTCCATAAAAATATTTTTTGATTCTGGGATTGTATTGGCAGTGGTAGATTGCATTACTGGTAGAGGGACAGAGTCCCCACACAGAAGGAACTTTTAACCTTTTTGTGTTCTGTATATGGCGTGTCACGTGATCAAGATGGAGTCATACAGTATTCTCCATGGAATTAAAATGTTTTAGTCAGGAACAGGATATTAGAACTTTCGTACAAATGTTTTCATTGTACCATTAATGAAGATTTTCATGTCCTTTTCACTTTTATTTAAGTTCATAGAATCAATATTGGTACTGTGCTAAGCTTGTGGTTCCTACACAGAGATGTAGCAGTCTTTTTAAAACAGACATTTGAGCCTCTCTGGGCCTGCACCTGGTGCCCCCCTTTATATTGTGGGAAGTGTTCTCTTGGGTGATTGTGATGCGTATCCTTGTTAAGGGTCACTGCTCTCAGGACCTAAGTTCAGTTCATGTAGTTCTAAAGTTGTTTTGTAGTTTTTAAAACTAAATTTTAATTTAAGAAGTTATACAGAGGTAGATAAAGAAATAGTCCATAGTCTCCCTGCCTTTTGCTTCTAGCCCCTTAGCCCAGAAGTAACCAAAGTTAATGGTGTGTGTTATTCTCACACCTTCCTCTTTATTCACATCATTATGTATAAACATGTACGTGTTTCCTGTTTTAGTTTTATTTTATGGAAATTGTGTGTTATATTTGTCTAGTTTTTTGTGTGTGTGTTTTAAATAGTATATGTGGGTTATCCTTTTAGGTCATTACATTATAGGTCAAACATTCTTTTTTAGGGGTACCTGGGTGGTGAAGTTGGTTAGGCGTCCAAACTCTTGGTTTCAGCTCAGGTCGTGATCTCAGGGTCATGGGATTGAGGCCCATGTTGGGTTCCACGCTCAGTGCAGAGTCTGCTTAAGTTTCTTTCTCCCTCTCCCTCTGCTCATCCCCCCAACATGCATGTACGTTCTCTCCAAAATAAATAAATCTTTAAAAAAAAAAAAACAAAACTCAAAACATTCTTTAATACCTGCAGATATTCCAAAGTATGGATGTACCATAATATGCCTCTTATCAATTAACTTTTAATTTATTTCCACTATTTTCATCATAAGTAAGCCTGTAATAAACATAGGAGTACTGATAGTAGATTCTGTTACAAAGTCGCCCTTGTGTGTGTAACTATTATGTGGCTACTATCTTAGAAAAGTTATCTTAGTAAAGAATATTTCTCTTAAAGTTAAAATGAGCAGAATTTGTTTTCTTTTAGTTATTAGGTCCTTTGATGTCAACAAACCTGGCTGTGAAGTTGATGACCTTAAGGGTGGTGTAGCTGGTGGTAGTATTCTAAAAGGAGTATTAAAGGTAAACTGGATTTTTATTGTTGTGTTTTTATTTTATTTTTCTCTTGTCTTAGTCATAAGGTTAATAGTATGGACACTCCAAATTGAAAGTAAAATTTTTTTCCTTTTTGAGTATGGAGCACATTTTATATGGAGATAAGCTTGTGTGGTAGGTAGTTAACAACAGTGGGATGGATGTTTCTGGTTTTGAAGCTCACTTCCACTTTTTTTTTTTTTTTTTTAGTAACAATCCTCAACATAGAGAAATAATTGCCTGAAATTTTCAGTTTTGGTGTCTTCCTATTAGGACTTTTGGTTTGTAAGTGATAATGGTGTCGTCCCACAGTAATTCTAATTACTAACTTACATGTTTACAGGTGGGCCAGGAGATAGAAGTCAGACCTGGTATTGTTTCCAAAGATAGTGAAGGAAAACTCATGTGTAAACCAATCTTTTCCAAAATCGTGTCACTTTTTGCAGAACATAATGATCTTCAATATGCTGCTCCAGGAGGTCTTATTGGTAAGGATTTTTCTCTCATCCCTACATTTTTAATTTGTGGTATTTTTCATGGGAAAAGGATTACCCAGAAAGATGATATTGTAGATTTTTAATTGAGTATTTTATTTATTTATTTATTTTTAATTTTTTATTTATTTTTTTTTGCCAGAGAGACAATGAGAGAGGGAACACAAGCAGGGGGAGTGGGAGAGGGAGAAGCAGGCTTCCCACCGAGCAGGGAGCCCAATGCAGGGCTCGATCCCAAAACCCTGGGATCACGACCTGAGCTGAAGGCAGACACTTAACGACTGAGTCACCCAGGCGCCCCTTAATTGGGTATTTTAAATAATTGATTGGAGTGGGAAACATTCGTGTGGTTAAGCTGTTGGTTTTAGTTCATAAAATGGTTTCATGTGTTTGTAAGAGTTATTTTTAAGGATAAAGAAGAATACATTTTGGTTTAGTATATGAAGTAATTCCTTTTAGCAGTAATAAAATAAGTTTTATGATCCAGCATTTAAAATGATCAAGTATACTTTTTTGTCTACACAATTTTGGTGGTAGAGAGTGGTGGTTTTTTTGTGTGTTTTGCAAATGGAAAGTTACCCACAAATGTCAATTGAATCCTGTCAGATCATGTTTACTCTGAGGTGGGAATAAAAAAATAACTCTGAATGTGTAGCAGTTACTGAGATGATTTTATGGATTTTTCTAGTTCCTTACAACTTAGTGTCTTACCAGATACCCAGAAAAAGACAAGATTCAAAGGGAATTAGATATGTTGTTCCTTTGGATTAAAGAAGAAATTGTTGGATAAAGAAGTTTGTCTTTTGGTTCTCTGGTTTTTGGGTATATAATTCACTTTTCTATCCTGTAATTAAGAGTTTAGTGTATATAATTTAATGATAACGCTCATGTTGCCACCACTCAGCTTGAACAGTTATCAGTACTTTACCAGTCTTGCTTCATCTTTATGTCTCCTTCCCTCTCCTCATACGTGGCTAAAATATTTTAAAGTGGATCCCAGGAATCATATGTGAAGTCCTGAAGTTATTTTTTTATCAGCCTTCCAGGGGAGAAATGACAGGCAAATATTCTAAAAATTACTCATTATGAATTTTTATCTTTTCAACCTTTATTAAGTATATTAGACTCATTTTTGAGTTATGCTGTCCTCTCTGTCCTTTGTTTAGAATTTAAATCAAGGGACTGTTCTCAAATGCCCAACTAATCCATGGGTTTTTGTTTCTATTTCTTCAGGTAAGGTAGGTACTTTGTCATGCCTGTGTAGCTATTACATGAGTATGAGAATATATGAGTATGAGAAACGTGTATTAAAATGTATAGGTATACGTTGTACTTGTTTGACTAAGTTTTGGGTAAACTGCTTTATAGAAAATAAAAGTTGGGCTTTATATATCTTGTTTTTATATCAGGAGTGGGAACAAAAATTGACCCCACTTTGTGCCGGGCTGACAGAATGGTGGGACAGGTACTTGGTGCAGTTGGAGCTTTACCGGAGATCTTCACAGAATTGGAAATCTCCTATTTCCTACTTAGACGGCTGCTAGGTGTACGCACTGAAGGAGACAAGAAAGCAGCAAAGGTAAGTGCTTTCTGTAATTCCTGTTTCAGAAAAGTGGCAGTCATGTTAGGACCAGTTTTGAGGTTCATTCTTTTATAGTTAACATGGGATTAAGATAAAGAAAAGGTGAGTAAATTTGGCTTTCTACTTTGAGGAAGTTGAAAAGTCTCATGTTAGGTTAGCAGAGATGGAAAATTGCTGGTATCTATTGTTGGCAAGGATGTAGGAAAATAAGCAGTCATTTTTGGAAAGCATTTTCTTGATTTGGGCATTTATCTTTCCTCGATTTATTTTCTAGGTGCAAAAGCTCTCTAAGAATGAAGTGCTCATGGTGAACATAGGATCCCTGTCAACAGGAGGAAGAGTTAGTGCAGTCAAGGCCGATTTGGGCAAAATCGTTTTGACTAATCCTGTGTGCACAGAAGTAGGAGAAAAAATTGCCCTTAGCCGAAGAGTTGAGAAACACTGGCGGTAAGCTTACAAGCCTTTGTCACTATCTAATAAAAAAGACAGTTCCCTTAAGTTCTTGGTGGTGTGCATGCACACTTTACCTTAAACACAGCAGTTCTTTAGGTCAGCTGTTTATTTGGATGACTTTGAATCTGTATTTCTAGCCCTGATTTGTGATACACACAACCTATGAAAAAAACCAATGAATTTAGGTTCAGTATTTCTCTTTGGATTTTTAAAACTTTATATTTGGAAATAATTTCAAACTTAACAAGAAAATTGCAAGAGTTGCACACAACTCCTGTTTCCTTTTCCCAGATACACAATTTATTTGTGTGTGTGTGTGTGTGTGTGTGTGTGTGTATTCTTCTATATGTATAAACTTTTTTCTCAACTGTTTGAGGAGTGGGTTGTGTATATCATACCTCTTGATCTCTTAACACACTGGTGTATATTTCCTAAAAACAAGGACATTATCTTAAGTACTACAAGAAGTTAACATCAATAAATTACTGAAACCTACAGTTGATAGTTCAGTTATACAGCTTGTCCCAGTAATGTCCTCTAGTCCCTCTGGTCTAGGCTCACCGCATTTAGTTGTCATATGTCTCTTTGATCTCTAATTGGGTACTTCCTCAATTTTTTTTGTCTTACTTGACATTGACTATTTTGAAGAATACATTCTTACTCTTCCTCAATTTGAGTTTATCTGATACTTCCTAAGATTAGATTCAGGTTATGTATTCTTGGCTGGAATACTTATATAGGTAGTGATGTCTTCTCAGGAAATCACAGCCAGAGGCCCATGAGATCTGATTGCTCCTCCTTGTGGAGGTTAATTTTGATTATGCAGTTGAAGTGTTGTCCAGTTTTTCTACTATATATTCTTTATACCTGTGCACCTATTAAGCATTTTGTGGGAAGAGTCATTGAGTCTAGGTGAATAGCTTACTCCTCATCACATCTCATCCCCCTGGATTTAGCATCCACTGATGATTCTTGTCTGAATTGAACTTGATTATATGATTATAAAATGACACCCCTCCCCCAACCCACCACTTCTCATTTATTGTTTTTTTCCCTATTGTTTATTTAACTGGTTATAATATAGACTCGTGGAGTTCTATTTTATTTCAATAGGTTATGAATCATTACTGTCCTTACTTATTTTAATGCCAAATTGTTCAGGATTTGTCTAGTAGCGATCCTTCAAGCTGGCTTCTGTGTCCTTTTGACATGTCCCCATCATTTTTTTTAATGTACTTTTTAAGATTTTATTTATTTCACAGAGAGATTGCGACAGCAGGAACACAAGCAGGGGGAGTGGGAGAGGGAGAAGCAGGCTTCCCACTGAGCAGGGAGCCCGATGTGGGGCTCGATTCCAGGACCCTGGGATCATGACCTGAGCCAAAGGCAGACGCTTAACAACTGAGCCACCCATGCGCCCCTCATTTTTTTTTTTAACAGTTCCTTAGTTTCTGGCACAAGATATTCCAAACTCATCTTATACTTCCCCTGCTCCAGTTTTAAAATTGGCCGTTTCTCCAGGAAAGCCTGGTTTCTTTTAGTGGGGAATGATATTTAGAAATGAAGATCTGGGTGCTAGAAGTGCTCATTGTTCCTAGGGTGCTATTTCTTCTGTGTCCTTTGAGTGGATAAGCAAGGAGACACATCTTTGACTTCTGACTGTTTGCTCTCAGTTACCTAGTTAGTTACTGAATCTACCCTTTACTTTTCTATTCTATGTGGCCTCATTATGCCCCTTACTGCCATCATTTCATACTTAAAAGTTACTGCAAAAGATGGGGTACCCAGGTGGCTCATTCAGTTGAGCGGCTGCCTTCGGCTCAGGTCATGATCCCAGGGTCCTGGGATCAGGTCCTGCATCAGGCTTCCTACTCAGTGGGGAGCCTGCTTCTCCCCCTGCTGTGCGTGCTCTCTCTCTCTCTCTCTCTCAAAAAAAAAAAAGTTACCGCAGAAGATTCCTAATTTGCCTCTTCCTTTGTTAGTTAAGAGCTCAGTCAAAATTAATCTTCCTAAAACATTTTTATTATGCTGTGTTCATTAATTTCCAGTAGTTCTCACTACTTTATGATATTCTGGACCTTTCTGGAAACCTGCTTCAGTGCATTTTATTTCTTCCTGCTTTGTCTCATACAAACCATCTAAATTACACTGTTCTGGGTCCTCATTGTTGTCATAATTATTCAGATCACCTTCGGCGCTCTGTTTTTTGCTGACTGCTTCCCTTATTAAGGTTTCCCTGATACTGTGCCCCATGAAGGTCTCTCATCACTTACTGTTCAGAAGATTGATTTGAATTATTACTCTATAATTTAGAGAGTTAAACTTCTAGTTGAATTTTAAGTAAATAACCCTGCTTTGTGGTGATTTATGTCATTTGATTTTACTCTTTGGTGTGATTATACCATTTGCTATTATAGACACACTGATTCCCAGGGTATTTTAAAATAGGCTTAAATAATAAACTTCCAGAAACTCTCAACAGGGAATGTATTATTCTCACTTAGTTAGAATGGTACATTTCCTAGATCAGAACAGATTTTAAAATAAAAGGATTTTTTTGTGTGTCTGCCCACTAATACTATAAGAGGATTCTATCCACATGAAACTAGATTTCGCTTAAAAATTAGCAAGACTCCACCAGAAAACTGTTACTACTAATAATAAATGGATTCAAGAAAGTTGTAGGATACAAAATTAATATATAGAAATCTGTTGTACTTCTATGTACTAATAACAGAGTAGCAGAAAGAGAAATTAAGAAAACGATTCTATTTATGGTTGCTCCAAAAAGAAAAAAAGAATTAAAAAAAGAATAAAATACCTAGGAATAAATCTAAGGAGGTGAAAGACCTATACTCTGAAAACTATAAGACTTTGGTGAAAGAAATTGAAGACAATACAAACAAATGGAAAGATATACTATGCTTATGGATTAGAAGAATTAATATTGTTGAAATGGTGTTACTGTCCAAAGCAATCTACAGATTCAGTGCAATTCCTATCAAAATTCCATAGCATTTTTCATAGAATTAGAATAAATAATCCTAAAATTTGTGTGGAACCACAAAAGATCCCGAATAGCCAAAACCGTCTTGAGAAAAAAGTACAAAGCTGGAGATATCACAATCCCGGATTTCAAGCTATCTTGCAAACCTGTAGTAATCAAAACAGTATGGTACTGACACAAAAAAACAGACAAATAGATCCATGGAACAGAATAGCCAAGAAAAAAACCCATGCTTATGTGGTCAGTTAATCTATGACAGAGGAAAGAATATACAGTGGGGAAAAGAATCTCTTCAAAAAATGGTGCTGGGAAAACTGGACAGCTACACACAAAAGAGTGAAACTGGACCACCTTTTTTTTTTTTTTTTAAGATTTTATTTATTTGAAACACAGAGCATGTGCACAAGCGCAGGGGATGGGGAGACAGAGGGAAAAGGAAAAGCAGACTCCCCGCTGAGCAGGGAGTCCGACTTGGGGCTCTATCCCAGGACCCTGAGTTCATGACCTGAGCTGAAGGCAGACACTTAACTGACTGAGCCACCTAGGCGCCCCAAAACTGGACCACTTTTTACACCATACCCCAAAATAAATTCAAGACCTAAATGTGAGACCCAAAACCGTAAAATTCTTTTTTTTTTTTTGTAAATATTTTATTTATTTGACAGAGAGACACAGCAAGAGAGGGAACACGAGCAGGGGGAGTGGGAGAGGGAGAAGCAGGCTTCCCGAGGAGCAGGGAGCCCGATATGGGGCTCGATCCCAGGACCCTGGGATCATGACCTGAGCTGAAGACAGACACTTAACGACTGAGCCACCCAGGCGCCCCCAAAACCGTAAAATTCTTTTTTTTTAATTTTATTTATTTATTTGAGAGAGAGAGAGCACATGAGAGGAGGGAAGGTCAGAGGGAGAAGCAGACTCCCTGCTGAGCAGGGAGCCCGATGCGGGACTTGATCCTGGAACTCCAGGATCATGACCTGAGCCAATAACTAACTGAGCCACCCAGCGCCCAAAACCGTAAAATTCTTAAAACAGGCAGTAATCTTTGACATCAGCTTTAGCAGCATATTTATGGATATGTCTCCTCAAGCAAGGGAAAAGCAAAAATAAACTATTGGGACTACACCAAAATATAATAAAGTTTTTGCACAGCAAAGAAACCATCAGCAAAATGAAAAGACATTCTACTGAATGGGAAAAGGTATTTGTAAATGATGTATCCGATAAGGGTTTAATATCCAAAATATATAAAGAACTTCCACAACTACACGCCAAATAAGCCAAACAATTCAGTTTTAAAAAGGGCAGTGCACCTTAATAGACATTTTTCCAAAGACATACAGGTGACCAACAAACACATGAAAAAAATGCTCAGTATCACTAATAGTCGGGAAAATACAAATCAAAACCACAATGAGTTATACACCACTCCTGAATGGCTAGTGTCAAAAGGACAAGAAAAGCGGGCACCTGGGTGACTCGGTTGGACATCCGACTCTTGATTTCAGCTCCGGTCATGATCTCAGGATTGTGAAATCGAGCCCCATGTGGGGCTCCACTCTGGTGGGGGGTCTGTCTGAGATTCTCTTTTTCTCAAATAAATAAATAAATCTTTAAAAAAAAACCCCAAAGTCAAGAAATAAGTGTTGGTAAGGATGTGAAGGAAAGGGAACCCTCATACACTGTTCGTGGGAATATAAATTGGTGAGACTACTATGGAAAACATTATGGAAGTTCCTCAGAAACTTAAAATGAAAATACTATATCATTTGGTAATTCTACTGGGTATTTACCCAAAGAAAACAACACTAATTTGAAAAGATATATGTGTGTATGTATCAATGTTTATTGCTGTGTTATAATAGCCAAGTGTCCATCTGTAGATGAGTGGATGAAGTAGATGTGGTATATATACACAATGAAATATTACTCAGCCATAGAAAAATAGTCTTGCCGTTTGTGACAACATGGATGGATCTAGAGGGTATTATGCTAAGTAAAGTAAGTTGGAGAAAGACAAATACTATATGATTTCAGTCATCGGTGGAATCTAAAAAACAGGCTCATAAATACAGAGGACAAGGGACACCTGGGTGGCTCAGTCGGTTAAACGGCTGCCCTCGACCTGGGTCGTGATCCCAGGGTCCTGGGATCGAGTCTCGCATCGGGCTCCTTGCTCAGCGGGGAGCCTGCTTCTCCCTCTTTCCCTCTGCTTGTGCTCTCTCTGTCAAATAAATAAAATCTTCAAAAATATATATACAGAGAGAGGACAATTAGTGGTTTCTGGTGGGGGGGATGAGGTAGGTAGGGGGACAAGTGCAATAGGTGAAAGGGATTAAGGCTTCCAGTTATAAAATAAATAAGTCCTAGAAATGAAAAGTGCACATTAGGGAGCATAGTCAATAATATTGTAATGTATGGTGCCAGATGGTGAGTACACTTGTAATAAGCATAGAATAATATGTAGAATTGTCAAATCACTATGTTGTACACCTGAAACCAATATATTGTATGTCGATTTTACTTCAATAATAAATTGAAATAAAAAATAGTCAAATTTTTAAAAATTAGCAAGTATGTTAAAATTATTAAATGAGAGCATCTGAATGATCTTTACATTCCCTAGGATTGTGGTTTTACCCCGTGTTTAGATGGGTTTTGTTCTTGAAGCTGTTGTTGAGGTAGCAATCCGTCCTGGCCATTAATTAGAGCAAACATTGAAAGAGGGAGCAGAGGTACCTCTGCTATTCAGAGTATCTGCTAATAGACTATACGTTCTTCTAGTTCGTCTCTTAATTTTCTTTACCAGCCAAGGTCATGCTAAATCCTTTGTGATCTGTTGAGTGCTGTGAATGGTAAAAAAGCATTTTTTCAAGGAGAAAAGGATAGAAAATGAGATTTTTTAGAAAATCAGACTGGTAGATTGTGTATCAGCATGATTCCTTAGTTGGACTGGAAGACTGGTGGTTCTGGAGGGGTGAGTATATTTCAATAGAGTGAAGACAAACACATTTGTAGTAGCAACTTTTTGTTTGCTTTTTTGGTCATTCATTCTGGCTAGGGCCCATCTTTGCGGGTCTGAGGATCTAAGAAGAAAGTGTGGGCTTTCTTGAAGCAGCAGGTTTTGGGAACATTCAGATTTAGCAGATAAGCAAGTAAAACCAGTTATGTCATATGATTGTGTGGTAATGATAATGAAATGGGTGTAAAATCATAGTTGTAAAAATTTTTTTTTTTTGCAGTTTAATTGGTTGGGGTCAAATAAGAAGAGGAGTGACAATCAAGCCAACAGTAGATGATGACTGAAGAATTCCAGTGAAATATACATTTGGATGGAGTCGGGATTTCTCTTTACAACCTGGGGGTATATTTTCAAAGCAATACAGGGAAATTAATTTCACAGCTCATTACCTTAGTGGTAGCTGTAAGGTTATTCTCATTTTTTGGTGATGAAAATTTAACCTTTAGTACTAAAATAGGGTCTACAATAAATGTAAAAATTGGCATAATGTTGGATTGAATCTACATTTTAGCAGAAATTAATCATTCCCACATAATGTCTAATTTATACATTAGTGCAGGTTTGAAATGAAACTCTTTGCTGCAACCAGCCCTTTCTGTAGCACACATACCAACAAACCTGTTTCAAATAAAGGTTTTCTTCTTACTTTGCATGATTCATCTTTGAGTGGTTCCAGGCTTGAAGGACTATCGTAACCAGTAAAAACTTGAAGACTCAAGTTCTTGAAAACCAGTTTTCCTTTGCCCCATGTTTTATGTTGCTTTATCTTTGAAATTATGAGTGAAAAGGAAATTAATAAAAATTATCCTTTAGAGCATAGGAACTCATTTCCATGGTCACACCATTTTTTCCCTTCCTCTTTTCCTTAACTGGAACACAGGAAACTAGAGCCAGAAGTTCTCACCTCCCTGTGGTGCCCTGCAATTGTTTCTGCATTGGTTTATACCTGAAACCTGATAGCCTTCCCCCATTGGAAAACATTGTTAAGCCAGATGATTCTAGATAAGTAACATAGATCTTTCTAGGCCTTATTTTATATTTTTTCTTAACTGCTTAATATGGTTATAATGTAGATTCTAATGTTAGTAACCTTTGGACCTTTCAAGAGGTCAGTGATGTTAGAAAGCAAAGGGTGAGCCTTTTGGTTTTTAACTTATTCTGCATTTTCTTATATTTTTCCTGTGCTCTGCTTTATTTTTTATTTTTTTAAAGATTTTATTCGAGAGAGAGAGAGCACAAGTAGGGTGGAGGGGCAGAACCAGACTCCACTGAGCGAGGAGCCTGATGCGGGGCTCGATCCCAGGACCCTGAGGTCATGACCCAAGCTGAAGGCAGATATGCTTAACAGGCTGAGCCACCCAGGTGTCCCTGCTTTATTTTTATTTATTTTTTTCTTTGTAAGATCCTCTTAAAGCAGTAGGTCCCAACTCTGACTGACATTAGATTTGCTGGAGAACCTTAAAAAAAAGAAAAAGATGGCCTGCAGAGATTCCGATTTAATTGAGTAGGGATGGAGCCCTGGCATTGATACTTTAAAAAACTCCCCAGTGTTAAGAAATGAGTTTAGAGAGTTGAGAAGTAGGTGTATCAAATAACACAGAATTTACTGAGTTTTGTTAGTCTAATAATAAATAGAGTCTGATAATAGTCTCTAGTTGCTTTTCTTAAATTTGCATTTAATGTGGGATTTGATGCCACAGTCTAATAATAAGCCTTTTCAGGCATTGAAACTGCCTTGTAGAAATTTAGAAGGTGTGGCTGTGAATTGTTACTTAAATTTATAAGTTCTGAAGAAGTATATAATGTCGTATACTTGATTGAAGGGTTGTGTTGTAGCATGAAGGACATTTAAATAAAGCGAGATCCTAATCCAGATGTTAATTTTATTTTTTTTAAAGATTTATTTGAGAGAGAATGAAGAGAGAGAGCGCGCACAAGAGCGGGGAGGGTCAGAGGGAGAAGCAGACTCCCTGCTAAGCAGGGAGCCTGATGTGGGATTTGATTCCAGGACTCCAGGATCATGACCTGAGCCAAAGGCAATCGCTTAACCAACTGAGCCACTCAGGCATCCCCAGACGTTAATTTTATATTTAACATGTCCCCATTTGTTTTGTAAGCCCCTTCCGCCAGTAATTCTGGGATAACAAGTCCTAAAGCTTCAATAGTTGGCTAAATTTATCTTAAGTAATCTCATGTCACAATTGAAAGCAGAAGTCTATTTCCAGCATCTACATGAATTTCAACAGATTTATGAAGCAGTGTGCTTAATGTAAGTAGGTATACACAAATTGGAAAACAGTGGGCCTAATTTTCTTAAAACTTGACGTTAGTGCATTGATTCTTAGCAAATGGCTCACCTGTCAAGATATTTTCAGAGTCTGACCAGTTCTCATCCCCTCTACTGTTAACAACCTAGTTGACGCCACCATGGGCTATCACCTAGAATAGCACTGCGTAACTCCTCCATGCTTCCACACTTGCCCCACTGCACTCTGTTCTCAACATAACAGTGTTACCCTTTTTATAAGAGAATGCTTTGTGTACCACTGTATGGTAAGTTGTAAAGTCTCACAGAAATGGGGTATGAGAGCAGTCTAGCTGTGACATTGCAATTTCCAGGCTGCCATAGAAAGTTCTATTATGTAACCTCCAAAGATGATGTGTGGCTCCGTAGCTCAGGGGTTAGAGCACTGGTCTCGCAAAGATGATGTGTGTTTGTGTGTGTGTGTGGGGGGGGGGTTTGCAGAAGAAAAAGAATTTTCTTCTAATAAGAGTGCATATAGCTGCACTTTTAATAAAACTTCTGAAATCCCATTTCTAGGAAAATTTAATATGGTGAAGCATTCATTGAAATGGATGCTTTTCTAGAAATACATAAAATTTTTAGAAGTTATCGAAAATGAAGCTGATACCCTTGGATTAGTAAAAAATTACCTCTGCAGAAGTTTCCACAAACTCAGTATACATTCTCCCAAATTTCAAAGATTAGGTAATTTCTCTTTAAACTGTTTCAGAATATAGGAAATGAAAAGACGAAAAAGGAGACCTCATAACTCATTGTTCAAAGTTCTGTCCCTGCTGCCCAAACCTGGAGAGAAATACTACCAAAAACAAAATAACAAAACCACTGGAACATATTCTCACAAAGTTATAAAATCCACTCTAAAATATTAGTAAATCCGGCAATATATTAAAAGAATAATGCATTCTTGTGTACACATGGAAGTTACAGAGGTTGAAGGAGAAAAGCTTACCTTGAAGATGTATTTAACACAATCCACAATAACTTTTTAAATGTAGGTAATGTAGAGAAGGAAACTATTCACTCGATGTCATGTGCTTAGTAGAGAACCTTCAGAATCATGGTTTTGAATGAGGAAATATTGGAACACAGTAACATCCTTCCAAGATGCTGTAGGTTGAGTTGGGTAAAAATGTGGAGCTGTGAGGTTAATGCAGTAACGGGTGAAATTCAGGGTGGGAAGCAGTTATCAGTTGAATGACACTGGAATTCATGTGATTGTTTCTCTATATTCTCATTAAGGTCTGCAACAAGTCAAGAATGTCAGCTACCACTTCAGTTCTACAACAGTGTTCTCTGGGGCTTAGCAAATGAGATACAGATATTGGGAATGGAAGCAACAGAACATTATTTACAAGGTATAAGATTGTCTAGAAGGGGCGCCTGGGTGGCTCAGTCGTTAAGCGTCTGCCTTCAGCTCAGGTCATGATCCCAGGGTCCTGGGATCGAGCGCCGCATCGGGCTCCCCGCTCCGTGGGAAGCCTGCTTCTCCCTCTCCCACTCCCCCTGCTTGTGTTCCCTCTCTCACTGTGTGTCTCTCACTGTCGGATAAATAAAATCTTTAAAAAAAAAAAAGATTGTCTAGAAAATACAACCTAGAAACTGAAAAGCATGAACTTCTAAGAGTTCAGTGAGGTGAAACGGTTCAAAGTAAACATGCAAAAATTATTAGTTTATTAAATTACTAATTAGATTAAAGCTCCCTCCATACACAGATCAGAAAATGTAGTGGGTATAAACTATCCAGGTATAAATTTAATAAGACTATGCAAGACCTATATGAATAAAACATTTGCTGAAGGACAAAAAAGGAGATAGAAAATAGGCAATATTCTTGTATGGGAATACTCATTGTATAGATGGCTGCCATTTTTTGCTATAAATTCGGTACAATCTGAATAAAAGTTTCAACCAATTTAAAAAACTGGTCCAGCTGATAAAGATTTGGAAAAGTAAATTAACAAGAATAGTAAACTTTTGGAAAAGAATTATGATGGGAAAGTTGACTTACCATGTTTTAGAACATAGAAAGCTGCAATATAAGAGGTACGATATTGATGCAGAAATAGATCATTGGAACAAACAGTATAACCATATATAAAAATTTAATAATATATGCTATATGCTGCATTTTATGTGAGGAAAAGGAAAGACTTTTTTAGTCCAAATGGCTAGCCATTTGGAGATAAAACATCTTTCATTTAAAGTCTTATTTAAGGGTCTTCTGGGTAGCTCAGTCAGTTAAGCGTCTGCCTTTGGCTCAGGTCATGATCCCAGGGTCCTAGGATCAAGTCCCGTGTCAGGTTCCTTGCTCAGCGGGGAGCCTGCTTCTCCCTCTCCTTCCCATTCCAGCTCTCTCTTACTCGCTGTCTCTCAAATAAATAAAATCTTTAAAAAAAGAAAAAAAAAGTAAAGTCTTATTTAAGGTTTCATTTTATTGAGACAAAATTTGGAACAAAGAAAAAGATTATTTTAATAATTTGGATGAGGAATGCAAAACAAACCTAAAAGCCATAAAGGAGAAGTGGACAGATTTAATGTCTAAAAAGTTCAGAACAGGGCCAAAGATACCAACCACATATGTAGAAGATGATAGATTGAGAGTTGAGAGAAAATACTTAGGACTTACATGACATGTGAAAGATTAATATTCCTAGAACAAATCAATAAGATGAAATAAAACAGAAATAGGACAAAATATTTACTGCGTCCCTTTCAGTGGGCTAAAGACCAGCAGGAAGAGAGCTCATGTTGACTCAGGAGCACACTGATTTGACTTGGATGAAGATTGCAGTTAGTGGCAGTCAAGTGATCCCACAGGCAGGAGCAGATGTGACATCTCATCTCCATGGAATTTTCTCTGTGCCTCAGACTTAACAGGGAGGGGCTGCACTGCTGCCAGAGGCTTTCTTGTAAGGTTGGTTCTTGCTGGATCAGAGAAAATGAGTTTTGTCCTGGACCATTGTACCTTTTTTTTTTAAGATTTAATTTATTTTAGAGCACGTGAATACGGGGGGAGGGGTAGAGGGAGAGAATCTGAAGCTGACTGTGTGCCGAGCTTGGAGCCCAGTGTGAGCCTCCACATGGGCCTTGATCTCATGACCCTGAGATCATTACCTGAGCCAAAACCAAGAGTCGGACGCTCAACCAACTGAGCCACTCAGGTGCTCCCTGGGCCAGTGTACTTTTATACTCAGGGATTGTGTCACTGTTGAGGAAGAACTTAAACAAATACTTAATGCTTTCATTTAAGGGAATGTTTACAAACATTGAGCTTCAGGGAAATAACATTGCATTCTGGGGGATTGGAGCACCGCTATTGAACAATATGTCTGACTAAAGCCTTT